CAATTTGGCGCTCTGCACGACCACCATTTTGGATTTTGTCCACGTTGTATTCGAAAGTGTATGTCCTAACAAAAATTTTAAGCCGTTACAACGGTTTCCCCAAGTTTTGGACAGATAGGGGGTTATATTGGGGTTATGGGGTCTTAGATATGATGGGTTACATAATTTTTAATTGTCAATGTAAAACATTGATTAATTCAAATCTTAACGAGCTAAAGAAAAGATGCTTTAAAAATGTATACAATCTACTAATTAACAAAGATTGTTGACCCAACATTTATATTATAAATTTTATTGTGGAAATATTTTTACCTAGGCTTGTTTGCAGTAGATTACATCTTAATAAATAGTTTTTTCAAATAGAACAATGTTTGTTCTTGCATACGGCAGTTTGCTAGAGAAAAATTCTGGTCTTTCGAAACGGTTCTAAATATTTAATCTGAACCAACTAAGTATAAGGCACAAACCTAACAAAGAAAACTTAATAAAATGCTGTTTAAAATACCTACATATAAGTGTGGACCGTTGTTTGGTTAAGATAAGAAACTAATTTACATTACCACAGGTAATTTTATGTCAAATAAATAACAAGTTTTTTGGGAGTATACTAGGAAATGTATTACACTGACAATGAGAGAAAAATATAGAGGTACGATTTGATTAGCTAATATCAGGCCCGGCTCCAGGGTACGTGCAGCCGTGCCCCTGCACGGGGCGGCAAAAATCGAAAGGCGGCAAAAAGTTATTCAATACATGTATACAGCACGATATAGGATCTAAATTAGATATTTTCAATTTAATTTCAAGTTTGCTGAACAAAAATCCAGAAGGCATTCCTTTTCTTAAACTTTTGTTTGTATTGTAAACAGATTTTTCTTATTTTTACTACTAGTCAATTTAATAATGTTGGATAAAATAATTTTTATTACAATATATTACTGTTTTTTAGAATGCGATGATATTTTATTTATTTGTTATTAAATAATTTTTTTTTAAATTTTTTGTTAATTTTATCTTCCCCCTAATGAAACAACTGGATAACTCGAAATTTTACGAATCCAGTTCTACTATTACATAGCAATTTTAGAATATTTTATTTATAAATGTGTTTTTCCAGATATCCAATTGAGCATCAAGGGGCTATATTATTTAGGTATTTTTTTTAGAAATTAAACCTAATTAATGGGCACTAACAAGTAGGTAACTATGAGGGGCGGCAAAAATATTTTTGCACGGGGTACCAAAATGTCTGGAGCCGGGCCTGGCTAATATCTTATAGGTGGCTATCTTTTCAATATATTTTCACGATTTTTATTATACAAATAACTATAAATTAACGCAAATTTTAAATTTTAGAGTAAAATTAAGACTGCAAGATTTAAATGTTAAAATGTTCTACAACACTGTAAAAATACAGTTTGTTTTTATGAATTGTAGGAAAAACCAATTCTTCTCAGTGTTTTGTATTAGGGTAGGTATATTTATTTTACTAAAATTTTTCACGCAAATCCTTATTAGTTTATATCAGTGGCGGCTGGTGGATTTTGAGCACACAGTTATTAGACATGGGACCCACATCAAATTTATATTAGTTTACAATGACATTATATAGACAAGTTCTGCGCAAGCAGAATTTAAATTAAAGTTTGCGAAAAAAGTTAGTTTTTAAGTGTGCCCCCCCAGCCTCCTGCCCCCCTAAATTAAGATAATGCAAATTAAAGTGGTACAATATTTAATTCTCTGAAGTTTATCGACAAATTTAAAATTTTATTAAAATTTTTTAAGAATTACAGGTTTTATACCATTCTAAATTTTTATTATTTATTTTACTAAATTAAAAAAAAAAATAGAAATGGTATAAAATCTCTAATACTAGAATTTTTTTAATAAAATTTGAAATTTGTCGATAAAGTTCAGTGAATTAAATATTGTACCACTTTAATTTGAATTATCTTAATTTGGGGGGCAGGAGGCTGGGGGCACACTTAAAAACTAACTTTTTTCGCAAACTTCAATTTGAATTCTGCTTGCGCAGAACTTGTCTATACAATGTCATTATAAACTCATATAAATTTGATGTGGGTCCCATGTCTAATGGGTTTGTGCCCAAAATCCACCAGCCGCCACTGGTTTATATTAAATAAGTAAATATTTGTTTTTCATTAACGATAAAAAGTTTATAAATAGGTATTTAATTGAATTAAATTGCAATTTAAGGTTTATTTAATCCATGGATACATTTATGGTTATTGGGTTACTGCAGTAACCCAATAACCATAAATGTATAAGTTTGTAAAGTCATTATATAACATGTTCAAAATGATATTTTTCATTTTTATTTTTGCAAAAAAATAAAAAAAATATTCAAGCTTTCACCGAAGTTTTCAGTTATCCCCTACGCTCTAAAAATAATTTAGGTGAAGCTTTTTACATCCTATAGGATAGACTATAGTCTATAACTATAACTGCTTACCCATCTGAAGCTATCTAACCTCACTTTATACTTTAAATAATTGTTATTATACAAATACAAATAAATTTGTAGGTATACAGTTTTATTTGTTGAACGATAAAAATAATATATTAAATAAAACGTACACGCTTAATTTAAAAAAATCATGAAAGGTCTTACTAACTTAAAATAAAGCATTTATTCATAAATAACAAAAAATATGTATTTTAAATTTTAATAACTTGTGATTACAACGCATCCACAGCAAGTTTGTGTCATTTAACTATAACACAGGGCCGTGCGCAAGATTTACTCTTGGGGCGGTGGGTATCCTCACATTATTTGAACATTTTTAAAAGTAGATAACAAGTTTGAAATCTGACCTAGAATTGCTCCAAAAGTATACTTATAAAAAAAAATTTTTTATTTAAGTTCTCCCCTTCAAAATCCTTTTTAAATTTTTTTAATATATTTTCTTCTTTTTGAGAAATCGTTGGTTAATATTTATGATTAAAAATTAATTACATTTTTAAATAGGTACACATTGACAAATTGTGGCTTTATGGCGTTTTATTGACGGGCTGAAGTTAGCAACAGGTTTTTAGTCACGAAGTTAGTTTTAAGTTAGTTGACAGTTGTCAAATGTCAAAAATCGTTAAAATAAAGTGTCCTAATAAATAATACGAAATTTGAAAATTATTTTATTATACAGTGAAAAAATTTTGTTAGTAAATTCCAAAGAAAATAATGGGTTATACCCATTATTTTACTTGTAAAATTGCATTAAGTTTGTAATTTAAAATTATTACAATATTGTTGTAAAATTCAAAAATGTAAAATTACAATAATGTTGTAATGAATATTTTTTTACAATTTTGCTGTAAAATTAAAAATTGTAATATTACAATAAAATAGTAGGTACTGTTGAAAAATTCACACAAATTACACATTGTATGATTGAAAATAAAACAATATGCTAATTGGGGGACCGAATGAATTACGTTATTTAGTTATTCAACAATTGTCGTATTGTATGCTTTTAAAACGTATTTTTTATAATATAAATAAAAATATTATATAATTTATATATATAAATAATAATAAAAATCATAACTGAGTATACTCAGTATACCTATAGGTATGTTTTTTAATATTATTTATCTAAATTGCATGAACATTTCTTTGCTCTGCCAACTTATAATTTTTTTAAAACTAAAATTATTATCGATTAATCAAATAATCGATTAATCGAAAAAATCGATTATTTTAGATAATCAATAATCGATTATGAATTTCGATAATCGCAGCCCTAGTCTGCACAGAAGCAGTTTTAAGGGTATTGGGCTTATAAAGTTATGCTTGCCTTTAAATAATATTTTAATATTTCTCTTTGCTGAAGCCCCATTTTGAAATGTTGTTCTATAGCTATTAAAAACACTAAATTGGTTATACTATAGAGAGAAGAAACAATAAACTTACCTTTAGGTTTATCCTACAATTGTAACTTGAACTTACAGTTGTAACTTGAACCTACAATAATTTTAACAATTATTGTAAGTTCAAGTTACAATTGTAAGTTCAAGTTACAATAATTGTAAGTTCAAGTTACAATTGTAAGTTCAAGTTACAATTGTAAGTTCAAGTTACAATTGTAAGTTCAAGTTACAATTGTAAGTTCAAGTTACAATTATAGATTAGAAATTGCAAAAATCAAAGTTAGTTTTGGCTAAAACTTATAAAATTTTTGTTGGCCCTTCTACGCCTTCGTAAAAATCTGATCTAAGGTGTCAAGTTTCACAAAATTCATAAAAATGCCAATATCTCAAAAACGATGTTGTTGACTTTTGAGACTTCTGTACATATATGCTGTTGTGTATACCTACATAAAGCGTAAACGCTTACAAACTTGTAAAAACAATATTTTTTTCAATTTTGAACCGACTATATATATTTTAAAAATAAAGCCGTTGAGAACCAAATTTTATATTCTAATAATATTCTAAAGGTAACTTTTTTCCTTCCTTCCTTAAAATCGTCCATTCAGTATCGGCCATCATTTAAGAAACACCCTGTACATTGTACATTTATATCAAAAAAATCTTATTTTTTTAATTAATTAGGAATTTAAATAGAAAATAAACTTTTACGAAGTGAAATAAAATATATAAATATAATATATTATTATAAGATATTATCTACAAAAATAATAGTAGTAAATAAAAATTAAATTTATTTTAAAAATCGATAAGTTGAATACACAATTTTTCATTTAATACAAAAGCTCCCACCCTAAGAGAAGAAAAAGAATTTGAAAAATCAATCAAACATTCACGCAAATAACAATCCCACTTCAGGAACGTGAAAATCCAAACGTAAACCTGATACCTAAGGGGCGAAATGGGCGTGCCGCCTCACTCGGGGTAGAAGGAGGAGCCAACCAACTACCCCCACCCTTACCGCTTTGTTTTCACATTGCGTATACGGAAATGTGGTGGCTTGAACCATCATTGTTCTTACCATCAAAATATTGGTATAACATTTTCAGAAAGCGGCGACTACACATCTAATCTGTTCAGTTCCCAGTGCTCGTAAATATTGTATTTACTACATAGGTTTATTACTTACGTGTGCCCGGCGTTGTTATCAACAAATCGCATTCGATAAGACTTTGAGAATTACATATAGTGAATAGTGTTTTTGGTGCGTTAATATCGTGAACACAAATGCTTATGATGGAGAATGATATCAGATTGAAAATTGCGAAAAATCTGGATCTACAACAAACAGAAATGATGTTGGAGCAGCGCTACTCCATGCCAGAAAGTCCGCTGGATCTGAGAGGTTCATCCGATCCACAGGAAGTTAAAACCGAAGATTTTGACATGGATAAATCGAAAAAATCTGGACATCAACCAATAAAACCGCCGTATTCTTATATCGCGTTGATCACCATGGCAATCCTGCAATCGCCGCATAAAAAGCTCACTTTGAGTGGAATCTGTGAGTTCATAATGAGTAGATTTCATTATTACCGCGAGAAATTCCCCGCTTGGCAAAACTCTATAAGGCACAACTTATCGTTGAACGATTGCTTTATAAAGATCCCCCGCGAACCTGGCAACCCCGGAAAAGGCAACTACTGGACGTTAGACCCCCTGGCAGAAGATATGTTCGACAACGGAAGCTTCCTGCGCCGACGGAAGAGATATAAACGCCCATCACCCAACTTAATGCTGAGAGATCACCACGCTTCTGCCATGGTGGCTTCATTTTTAAACCAAGAAAACTACTCGCATGGGTTGTTCAGCCACCCTTCAATCCACAACCCATACAGCTACATTCCAACCATCCCAGCGAACCTCCCCAACCTACCACTGCTGGGCCCCATGGATTTATCCAGGTTGAGTTTGAGTCATCTTGGTATTATACCTCCTCCAACTTTATGCAAGCCCGTTCCAATGCAGCCACCGAGTGTCACGTCCATATCCGACACTGAAGATTATATATCGACGGAAATCAACAAAAAAGGCAAAAACGGTTTTTCCATAGACTCCATAATGGGTCACGAAAAATCCATCAGCAAAAAAGACAACCCCATAAAACTTATACAAGAAAATCCCGATGTTACAATGTCAAGACTACACTCTTCAGCATTTTCACCCCTTTCGTCGAGCGACGATTGGACTAGGTGAAACTACTTCCAATAAAATGTACATTCTCTCATTTTTTCTCGTATATATAAGACCAAAGAAAAGCCAAATGTAATGTGATTTAACTGTTGCAATATTTATTAAACATAGATTAGATTTTTTAGGAAATGTATAATAATAAATATAAATAGATAAACTTATGTACTTATTATAGTATTATTATGATTATATACAATGTATAGATTGCAGAATTTACTATGTAAAACTTAGTTTAATAAGTTTTTAAGTGAGTATTAGATGTATCTGTGTATATATAAGCTGTAGGCAAATGTACAGTGATGTTCTTTGATTTGTAAATAAGTACCTACCTACTTAAAAAATAAATACCTAATTTTTAATTAAATTTATATGGTTTTATTTTGATAATATTTTAAAGATAAAAATCTTGTTTTAAATTAAACAAAACATTTAATAATTAATTAAACAAACAATGCATTTCAATTAAACAAACAGTACCTGTAATGCATTAATTATTATTAACTAATCAAATGTTATTTTTGCAAACACATAAATAAATAAAAGGATTTGTTTTATTTTTAGTTAAGTATCAGTTATTTTTGTTGTCTTTGTATTGTTATACATTTATTAAAAAGATAAACCTGGTAGGTTTATTTTAAAGTGTATTTTCCTATAATCTAGTTTTACTACATTTTATGGAAAAATGATCCTGCTGCCTAGTTAGCGTGGCCTCCGGGCTTGATTGTTTAACTCGGTAAGATCTTATATACATTTATCTGTTTATACATTCTTATAAATTTCTTCGATTTTAGAAATCTTGGTATACAGGGTGAAACATAAAGCTTGGGAAACGAAGGATTTCAAAGTAAAAAAGAATGTTTTTATTTCATATGAATGTATGCCCTATATATAAATACAAAAATGCTCATATTTTTAATAACTTTTGAACCCTAAGGAAACGAAATTTTAGATATTGTTTTATTTGATAATGTATTTTCAATGCTTATTCTAAAATCTTTTTTTTGGATCTTTGTATACTCTATTAGCAATTTGTAAAAATACAAATCTAATATAAACTGTATGGCAATATCCTTGTGTACTCCACTAAGTAACCAAACTCAATTTTTTGACTTTTACTTGTGCATTGCCAAATAAAGCACTTGATAACATTTTGTTTTCTTATATTTTAATACTCAAAAGTTATTAAACAACAAAGGAATCCACGATTTAATTTTTTTTCAATTAACCCTTAAGTTATTTATAGCGATAGGAAATTACTATACAATGTATACTGATTTTCCTACGACATATATAATATAAAATTTATATATATATATAATATAAATTTGTGCAAATTTTAAATAATTAAATATCCAAAGAATAGTTTACTTCTTATGCATGGTTGAATATAATAATATATGTATGTTACCTTAAATATCCACAAAATTAACTATTGAAATAATAAAAATTATTATATAGTAAATTTTCGGAGCGAATTATAATATTTTTTTAGACTCAAGAATAAATACAACTTTAAATTTATTTATTCAGTTGTCTGTGTTGGGTTTTTGGAATAGTGGATTTTGATGTAGGCAGATATTGGGGAATACTGTCAAATATATTATTCATATGGGATACTAAAACATAAAAGGAACGACACAATTTTATTTTCTGTAAATTGGTGAAAACCGTGGCAAAGAAATAATAAAACTTTAAAATGATATAAAATCTGTATGATTTGGATTTTTTAAATAAAATTTGAAATTTGTCGATAAACTATGGTAAATAATAAATTGCACCAATTAAATTTATATTATATTTATTGGGGGGCACATTGAGCCGGTACGGCCGAGCAAAAAGTAATCTTTTTTCGCAAACTTCAATTTAAATTCTGCTTGCGCAGAACTTGTTTATTTAATGTCATTATTAGGGATGGGATTTTAGTTATTTTACCTTTTTTCAACCGATGTAGCTATTTGAAAATCCATAATGCCAAAATGTGTTTTAAAAGATTTTCTTTTATATGAACCTAACTTGTTTTCACCTTTTTTACCTTTTTGGAGGTTTTTGCTTTAAACTACCTTTTTTATACTTTTCTTACCTATTTTTTTAACTAGTTTTCACCTTTTTTACCTTTTTTGGAGGTTTTTGCTTTAAACTACCTTTTTATACTTTTGTTACATATTTTTTAATTTGTCAGTTTATTTTCACATATTTGTTATCTATTTTTACGTATTTTTACTTATTTTATTTTTTTGTGTTCTTTTTAAATTTTCAGCCAATATTTTATCCAGGGCGTGCAACTCAACGGTATAGAATTTTTTCTTATGGTCACAGCATAGAAATTATTCTATTATTCTAAATTATTTCTATGGGTCACAGACTGTAACAGTAACTTTCTTTACAGTATTTCTTTGTATTAAGCTTATGTTCTGTCATAGAATTTCTGTGTAGTGAGTGTCACTCAGTGAAACACAGTTTATTGCATAGAAATAGTTTATTGTGGGTATGTTCTGTATTTGGGTATGCATCTAAACAAAACTATAAAAGAAACTTGAACTTTTAATGTTTTTTTTACCTAAAATGCTGTTTTTTTAACCTAAAATGCTTTTTTTAGTACCTTTTTAGTTACCTATTTTTCAGTTTTTAGTACCTAAATATCCCATCCCTAGTCATTATACACTCATATAAATTTGGTGTGGGTCCCATATCTAATAATTAGGATATTGGTATACCCAAAATCCACCAGCCGCCACTGGGGAAAAATCTAAAAATTTATGTCATCAAGTGTACGATTTTACCATTTCCACAAAATCAGTAGATTCTTCTATAATATTTAAGTATTTTGTGGTAAAATAAGGACTTTATGGTGATAACAGTATTTTTTTATTATACTACAACAACTTTGTAATATGTACCCAAAGAATGTTTGTAACTGAAATCTTCACAGCTTTCATTTCACATCTCATCATCCCTTATCAAAAAGTAAATTTTACTTTGATTTAGATTTATTACATCCAAAAACAACATTTTACATTTGCGTGGAATTTTGTTGACATTTAGATAAAATTTCTAAAGAGAATGCGTTGTGCTACAATAAAATATTTTCTTAAGAAAATAAACATACAAGATTTGTTTTATTTACTGCTCATAAATTAATATTATATATAATATACATATAGTATACACTATGTGTACACTGTAAATACACTCACGTGCAAAATAATCAATCCACACAAATTTTCGATGATTTTTAATCGCAAATAACTTTTTTATTTGATGTCGGATTTAAACGAATATTAAAGAATATTATAGATAAATTAATGGACAATTGCTCACATTTTAAAAAATACTAAAAAATAGACGTACGTTTATAATATACAGGTTTAAACAAAAAGATGTTTTTTACCATAAGTTTAAGACACTCTGTAGAGTGGCAAAACCGTATATTGTTCTAAATTAAGTTTTATTGTTTTTGGTTCACCTCGATATATTTATTTTTGTGGAAAATATGGATTTTTTTAAAAAACATTGCAATTTCCAATATTTTTCTGTATGAAGAACTAAGGTTGCTATGATCCATCCATAGGCTATGGAGAATGACAGTGACAGTTTTGTTGAATCATCCCATACTTGGACATGTCATACACGGCTTTTAAAAGCTATCAAATTGTTTTTCGCAAATTAATGTTTAAATTTTGAGGTGTCTTCTTACTTTATAAAATGGATATGTCTCCGACTGAGGTTGCCAGAGCTATTAATTAGTATTACGTGGCAAGTGTTTTAAACGTCATAAGAAGTAAAGTACAAAGGGCAACATCAGTCGGAGACATTTTTAAAAGTAAGAAGACACCTCAAAATTAACACATTAATTTACGAAAAACAATTTGATAGCTTTTGAAAGCTGTATATGACATGTCCAAGTATGGGATGATTCAACAAAACTGTCACTGTCATCCTCCGTAGGCTATGGATGGACCATAGCAACCTTAGTTCTTCATATAGGAAAAATATTGGAAATTGCAATGTTTAAAAAAAAACATATTTTCAACAAAAATAAATATATCGAGGTGAACCAAAAACAAAACTGTTAAGAATATATTCATCTATAGATGTGACTTGATAAATAAAACTTAATTTAGAACAATATACGGTTTTGCCACTCTACAGAGTGTCTTAAACTTATGGTAAAAAACATCTTTTTGTTTAAACCTGTATATTATAAACGTACGTCTATTTTTTAGTATTTTTTTAAAATGTGAGCGATTGTCCATTAATTTATCTATTCTTTAATATTCGTTTAAATCCGACATCAAATAAAAAAGTTATTTGCGATTGAAATTCATCGAAAGTTTGTGTGGATCGATTATTTTGCACGTGAGTGTATTATTATTCGCTCCAGAAAAAAATCCTTACACAGGTCCTCAAAATTTTTAGAAACCAGAATAATTTTTGAGTTTGTACCACTCTTTCTTTTGTTTTGTTTTAATATCCCTTCTCCTCTTAAAATTAATGAGTTCATAAATTTCAACTAACGTATTTTTGGAGAAGAAAAAAATAAAAAGAATTTAAAATGGATTTTACAGACCAAATGTTTAAAAAAACAATTTGTTATGTTTAATTATTGTATTTCCACAGGCAAAAAAATAACAAAATATTAATCAAAATAAAAGAACTTAAATTAAAAGTTAATAGAATAATTTTGAAATTATTATTATTATTATTAATGATCATTAACATCCTGAATATCTTTTAAAAGTAAGTGGTACTTATTGGATAGATAGAAGTTGCCAGTTACCAGAGTGTAAAAAGAAGAAATGGTATATTATAATCGAGCACCTGATCATCTCTAAACAACCGGGGCAAACATCGAATTGAATCAGTGCAAATTAGATCCTTGGGGCCCCCCGGTAGGATCTGCGGCTCTGGCTTTCCAGAACGACTGCAGCTGCGCCCGCTTGGAGGGCCCTTCATCCATTGTATACGGACTTAAGCGATGTGTGTATTTTAATTTTAACGCTCCATATTCATGACCCCGTATAATAAAGATGGATTTGAGTGGTGGATAATGCACTCAATGTTCACATATTGC